CACTCCCCATCAAATAAAAAAATCCCCATCCCATCATCTCCATATTCACTGCTTCCACCCTCTCATCAGCGCCAGCTCGGTCCAACTTTGAGCCTTTGGGAAAGACACTTTCCACGAATGTTTCACTTTGCTCGGTCCTTTCTTAGATGGACGTTAAACTAGGAGGTCTGCCTCTCAAATAACCTTACACTAGTGTTGATAGGAGCGCTAAACCCATACCATTTCAACATTATTATAACTTCTACCCTCTCCTTACTTGCTCCTCAAGCACCAGGGACTGTCCCGGAAAATCTGTTTTGAGAAAATCGAAGGTAACATTTTTGTTTCTCTGGTTCAGCTTCTTTAAAAGACAAGGAGAGTTTTCTCTGTAATCCAACAAATATACACACCAATGGAACCAAGCTTCTCCTTTATATAGGTAGTGCAATGCCCACTTTTGGAGCTGGCCAAGATTTCTGGAAACCCCAGAAATCTGGGTTAGCCCACTTGTCCTTAAAAGCGACCGAATAACCTTACACTAGCGTTGATAGGAGTGATAAACTTATATCATTTCAACATTTTTTCTTTCTCTCTCTACTTAATCCTCCCTTCCTCTTTTTATTTACTCCACTCTTCCTCTTCTTATTTCCTCCTCCCACCCTCTCCTTATTCACTCTTCTCATCATCTCCTTATTTACTCAAAACGGCCCCGTTAAGCATGAGAGACAAAAATCTACTCTCCAAGAGCCGGAGCGCCGTAAATCTTCTACTAAAACAAACAAAAATCTACTCACCAAGAGCCGGAGCGCCCTGAGACACGGTATGAGTGTCACACGTCAGTAGTCTGGCACACGGGCACGTCTGTCCTCGCAGTATGGCGTTGACGTCACAGGTCTTGCCCTCCGCTATGTACATCTGGCACTTGCCTGTAGACAGAAGGGTTCTTTCCTTGTTTGGTCGGTTCTTCCTTTTGTTTGCTTGTTTGTTGGTTTGTTTGTTTATTTATTTGTTCAACGTTTGTTCGCTTATTTGTTTGTCTGCATGTTTACTGGTTTGTTTGTTTGTTCAACATTGGTTTGTTTGCCTGTTTATTTGTTTGTTCGTTTGTTTTCTCAATACTTGCACGATGTACTTTGTTTGAAAACATTTTGTCTATTTTAGAACAGAAAATAGGCAAAGAAAAGATATCATGACTCCAGTGGGTTCTGAAGATAGTCTTTGGTCGCTTGCACGGTGACTATCTTCTACAAGTAGCCGTTATAGCAGGTCTATTTCGTCCCAGCCAGGTAAACCAAGCCTATAACTCACCATTCCCCGACCCCATAATGTCGTTATAGGTCTTCAGACAGCATTCCCCGGCGTCGCACGCGCTTTCGTCTTTGCACACTTCACCCACCTTGGCCTGCGGAGGACAGAACAGTTTTGTTGGAGGAAGGGGAACGTGTGGAACAAGTTATCTTATCTTATCTTATCTTATCTTATCTTATCTTATCTTATCTTATCTTATCTTATCTTATCTTATCTTATCTTATCTTATCTTATCTTATCTTA